CCAGGACCAGTAGCAGGTACACATCTCCGTCCCGTTAAGCTCAGGTGGTCAGGCTTGGTGGCAGGGGCTGAGCCATCTGTCTTGTGAATAAGACATTGGGAACTCAATAACTATGGTGGGGCGAGATGGCGCTGGACCTTGAGGTTTCTCCCAGTGTCTAGTCTTCAGAGGGAAGACACGCTTCTTGCCTTTCCTGCCAGTCATGGGGGTGGGCAGGGGTGGAGGAGGAGCAATGTGGCTCCGTCACCATGGAGCACAATGGAAAAGGGTCGAGTGATGGGGAGTAGGGACACTTGATACGATGAAGAACCCAGGCTCAGGGCGCAGAGTTCTGCAGGTGAGGAGTTGCGCCTTCATTTTCTCATATGTCACCTGAAGATGATGGAAGGCACACAGGGATGCTTGAAGGACCAGGTGAAATAAGACCTGTGTGTCTGTCGCTTGGTGGCTCTGGTCACATAACCAACCATGTGGCATCTTCAATAGGGTTTCCTTACCTCAGCTTTATCCTCTACCTTTTTCTCCCAGGCACAACAGGGTCCATGGAATGCCCCGCTCCCCCCACCCTCCAAATGATGGTAGGTAACATCGTAAGACTCCATTGCCCTGTTCCTGGTGGAAGATCATGGACCTCTCTAGAAGTGGCTGGTCTGCAGATTCCCCCACCTCCAGCCCCACCTGGGACAGCAGAGTCCCAGAGTGGCCTTCTTCCTCTCTGTTGCCCCATGAGGTGAGCAGCTGCCTCCAGGGACCAAATTTTTATCTGCTGCTGGGTAAGCAGTAGGTACTTGCTCTCCACAGGAAGGACTTGCTTTCCACAGGAAGCACTTGCTTTCTACAGGAAGTGACATCTTCCTGGAGGGTTGGAATCCTTCCAACTTGGCGCTTTGGAGGTTGAGCGTTCCAACAGATGCTTGCGAACTGCAAGCTTCACGAGAGGCTCCTTCATAGGCGGAGGGACCCCATACCTGACCGGGTGACATCTGAGGTCTTCCTGTCCTCGGTCACCCTCTCTTCATTCTCATCTGTCCCCGACATCCCCTCCTTCTGGCTCACCCTGCTGCCTGTCACTGGCAGCACGGCCAACCTCAGGGCTGGGTGACCTTTCGAAGACACCGGGTTTTGTTTAATTTTCAGAATTCACCTCTCTCTGGGCCTGCTTATCAGAAGCTGCGAGGCCCCAGCTGGGGATGGATGCTGTTTGGCACTTCTCCCCAAGTCTCCAAAACAGATGGGCCGGTGCTTTTTCAAGTCGAGAGAGACTTTCCTCCTGAACCATGAGACCTGGAGAGAGAGGAAAGCTGGTAGGAAGCAGGGTGGGAGCAGACAAGAGTTACTCCTAAGGAAGGATGGAAAGCCCGCCACACTTGTTTTCCTGGAAACCGTGGTTTGTTTCTGAGTTCCTTTCTGCAAGGTCCTTCACGTATATAAGTGCACCTTGTGTTTACAGAGTCCGGACATGCTATGTGCGTAGACCCAGCAACACACATATGGGGGAAACTGAGGCATGCAGAGACAAGTCACTGCCTGAAGCCATACACTATCTGGAGTCTTTAAACCCAGCTCCTGTGGTCCCAGGTCTGCCTATGGAGCAATAGGAGAGCTGTATGATACTCATCTGGTTGTCATGGTAACTGTGTGTGCATGCATATGTGTGAGTGAGTGAGTGTGTGAGTGTGTGTGTTGTCTTCCCTTCAAGTTGACACAGGAACAGAAAGGATATTGTCAGTAGATAAGTCTAAGGGGCTGATACTAACCAATGCCTAGCATGGGAGACCCAGTTTTTATTGCTGTGTGAAATTATTTAACCTCACTAACCAACGAAATAGACACTGTTATTGCCCAGGAGAGAAACACTCAGAATATCAGGCGTGTCCAGGATCCAGTTGTGAGAAGAACCAACCTTGAATCCTATGGCCCATGTGCACTGTCTTTGGTTATCATTATTATAGATACGTAGTCTCATTATACAGCTGTTAGAGATATATAGTTATTGTTGTTGTTATAGATATGTAGTCTTATCATATAGTTGTTACAGATATATAGTTGTTATAAATAGTCTTATTATATAGTTGTTACAGATATATAGTTATTGTTGTTTTAGATATTTAGTCATGGCTTGCCTCAAACTCATTGCATAACTGAGGCTGGTCTTGAACACCTGATACTTCTGCATCCAACTTCCAAGTGCTAGGATTACAGGTGTGTGTCACCATACTGGGTTCTGTTTTCTTTCTTTTTCTTTCTTTTTTTTCCCTGACAATGTCTCACTCTGTGGCCCTGGCTGTCCTGGAACTCTCTATGTAGACTAGGCTGCCTTTGAACTCACAGAGACCCGCCTGCCCCTGTCTCCCTGGTGCTGGGATTAAAGGTGTCTGGCACTAAGCTCTGCCTTATTTGCTCTTTCAATAAACATCACTGTGTAAACTTTTTCTGCGAAGATGTGAAAACAGCTACATACCTCATGTGGGGTACTGAGGACAGACCAAAGTAGGACTCCACCGAAGTCCAACTTGGTCAAGCAATGGATTTATTGGTTTTACTTAGGGAGCATGGGGAACCCCTAAATAGCCACACCATAAAAAAGCCTCACCCTGGCATGGATGGAAACTTTGCCATAGCTGCAGAGGTGGAGTCCCCTTCGGCTAACCTTTCTTCTTCGTACTCTAGCACTTCCTGAGTACTTCCCTGGAGATGGCTTACAGCTTGAGCAGAGCCACACACAGCTGGAAGGCAGGACTATGCAGATGTGGTTGGAATCTCAGGCGAGGGTCTAAGGGCCCTCCCTCCCCATTCCCTGATCTGCAGGGTCACTTATGAGTTGTCACAGCTGCCCTGATGATGGCAGTGGCCCAGGTGCTCAGAGGACAGCGTTCTACAGCGGACGAGGCTTGTGGAGACACCTGAGGGCTTGACATGGAGGCTCAGTCCTGAGCCATGACCAGAGGGTGATGCAGACGCTGCCCTATTGGAAGAGAAGGACTGTTGAACGGCCTCTCTCCAAGAACTCCCATCTCAGGTGGGCAGAGGAGCAACGTCCCTCTGGAGTCGAGTCACCTGCTTCTTAAACTCTTCAAATGTGGAGGATGAGACCCAGATGGGGGAGGTCCAGCTGATTAAATTCTTATGACCCCAACTTGACTTGTGTCTCAGCTCAGGCTCTCTGGAGTTCACCCTGCATCCATCTCTCACCGTTCTGTCTGCTTTCCTGGGTGTATACACTCCCCCTCATCTGCTTTCCTAGGTGTATACCTCCCCCTCCTCTTTGCAAGATGCTTCATTTTCTGGGTTACGTAGAATGTGACAGCAAGGAGGAGGACAGAAAGTGCTCCCTTGGCATGAACTGTGCATCAATCAATATTCCTGAGGCAGGTGGCACGGGGTGGGCAGACACCATCTTTGCCTTTTACTCCCACACAGCCTGGAAGCGTGACCAGGTTGGTGTCATCTGCATTGAGAAGTGAGGGCAGGGGTGGGTGGGGACGTTCCCTCACCGAGGGACTTGGCTTCCCATGAATGCTGTTATCTTAACTTTTTCTACTTTCTGTATCCTTTTGATTTTTTTCTTCATTTGGGATATTATCCATTTATAATTTTATTCTTGCTAGATAGGTCAGCAGGCAGGAATGTATGAATACCAAGGAGGCTGTGGTGGAGACAGTTGGTGTTTGCCTCCAGTAGCTTGTGACTGCTCCTTCCAACAGCCCTTGGTTACACCCCCTTCTGCGCATGCATGCATAAATGTGAACAGCCTCATATGCACACGTGAACACACACAAATGCTCTCGCATGCACACATGAACACACACAAATGCTCTTGCATGCACACATGTGAATGCCCTCATACGCATGTACATTTTCCTGTTGAAACTATGGCTGTGGGAGGATTTCTGAGTCATACAAAATGAAAATGCTTCAAACCCTTACACCTAATCTACTGGAAGGAGATTTTCTTCAAACGTTTCTTTCTCATAAATGGAGGGTGTGGGTGTGTAGTGGTCCACCATATAGTCTAAAAACCCTAATGGGTGCGACATTTGAGGGTCTACCAAGAGCCATGAGCTAATCTCATTGTCCCCGTGACTCCAGCAGTTCACTATTGTCATGTCCATATTCAGAGGAGGGGAAACTGAGGTTCTTATCAAGCTTGTCAAAGGATACATGCAGCTCAGCCTTTTGAACCACACACCTCCTTCCTAAACATAAGCTCTTCCCGAGTGCCTCCCTGTGTATTTTATGCAGGAAACCAACCTGGGAATGATCTAGAATAGTGATTCTCAACCTGAGAGTGATGACCCTTTTCACAGGGGTCACCTAAGACCATCTGCACATCAGATATTTACATTACAATTCATAACAGTAGCAAAATTACAGTTATGAGGTAGCAACAAAAATGATTTTATGATTGGGGGTCACCATAACAGGAGGAACTATATTTATTAAAGGGTTGCAGTATTAGGAAGGCTGAGAACCACTGGTCTAGAATAATTGGATAGTACCAAACCATGACGCTAGAAGTATTTAGAATTGAGGGGCTAGGGAAATGACCCAGCAGGTAAAGTACTTGCAAGTATGAGAGAGTTCGGAGTTCCCAGAACCCATTAAAAAAAAGTTGGGTGGGTGTGATGGCCCTCCTGTAATCCTGGCATGTAGGGGGAACCCCCAGAGCAGCTGGCTAGCCAGACCATCTGATTGGTGGGCTCCTAGAGGGAGGAACAGGCCACAGCCACATAGACAGGTTGTCAAGGCATAGATCTTGAGGAAGCCTCACACAGTGTCATTGGGAGCACACAGATCACACTGAAAACAAGATTATCATCATTCACAGAAATCAACGTTAAAGCCCCTTTATCTATGGTAGTGTTTTTTTGCTCCCTGTACAGAGAGGAATCCAAGATTCCGCAGCAGCTTTGCTCACCAGGGAGCCAGCCCATCCAAGGGGAAGGATACATTGTGACCTAACAATGCAACATTGTAAAAACTCCAAAAGAATTAAACCAGGAAAACAACAAAGTAACCAGATGGACCCTAGAGCAACCAGAGAATAGAGACAAAGCCTCAGGACCCCCCACCTACTGGAGTGCAGAATCTAGACAGGAGCCATCAAGACGTCACTTAGGTAAAACATACACAGTTGCTTATTGGGTGCCTAGACAACCACCTACCATGTAATTCTGGCCACCAATGTGGGGTTCCAGGAGAGACTCGAAATAGCTTAGCACTACACTGTGGCAAAGGCCTTCTCTGGGCACCTCTCACTTCTGCCAACCCTTCGCTCTTCATTCCTGAAGCCGCATGGGTTTTACAGGATGGTGGCTTTGAGTCCGTGCTGAGCTTTATGCCCCCCTCCCCCCAACCCCCTTTAACCCAGAATGTTGGATAGCACAGCAATGGTCGAGTTTGGGGTCTAATGACTAATGCTCCATACATTGATCTACACATTGACCTGCTGCTTCTGGGACAGGTCATTTAACCTGTTATTTTCCTCCTTGAAGGGGTGAGAAACACATTCCATGAGGTCATGATGGGGGTGGAGTTGGAGTAGATGGTCTGTCTGGCTAAAGCCCGGCACACTCATGCATTTTCATCACACTTATTCTCACATTTTGTTGTACATTAAAATCACCCGGGGAGCTTGGAAAAACAAAAAACAAAACCCAAACAAGCTCACACTCCATAAGAATCAATTGTCTTGCTGTGAAAGTCCAGCGTGAGCGCTTTGAAAATTACCAGTGTGGGCTGGGAGATGGCTCAGCAGGTAAACTACTGGCTGTCCAAGCATGAGGCCCTGAGTTCAATCCCCAGCATCCACATAAGAGGCCAGCATAGTGGTGTAGACACCTGTGATCCCAGTGCCCGGGAGGCAGAGACAAGATGGGGACTGAAAGGGACTGAGAAAGACACCCGACATTGGCCCCAGTCCTCCACACGAACATGTACACAAAACAAATTCACAATATGCAGCAAGGACGCGCCCTTGAATCCCACAACTGAGTCATGAGATAGGATTCAGATATAGTTCCCACAGCTCGGGCTGCCCACTCAGACTCCCTACCTCTGTCCGCTCTGGCTTCAGTTTTCCATGCTTAGGTGCACGGGTGAACTTGGCCTCTCTCGGGGGCTCCATTTGTCACTTGGCAAATCAAATCAAAATGTCAACAAATCATTGGCCACTGTCTCCAATGCCGTTGGTGGCAACCCCACCATGGAATGCTTGTGAACTTGGAATCCTGCCTTGACTCTTCCATCTGTCATATCCAGTCATGTCTCAGAGTGTTCTTGAACTTCTCCCTGGTGTCTGTGTGGAGAGCGAGGAGGAGCCATGCTCACCTCAGCTACCATCCTCTCTCCTCTGAAAAGCACCAGCTGCCCAGGCCCTTTTCCAGGTTACTAGCCACATGAGTCATTTATTTTATTTTAATTTTTTTTGCTGTGTGATGTATGTGTACAGTTACATTCATGGAGGCCAAGGAGGACATCAGGTATCCTCCCCATCATTTTATACCGTAGTCTCTTGGGATGGGCTTTCTCCGACCCTAGCAGCCAGCAAGCTCCTACAATCTCCCCGCCCCCTAGCAATCGGCCACACTTAGCTTTTTATGTGGGTTCTGGGGATTTGAACTCAGGACCTCATGCTTGTATGTCATTCTCTTATCATTGAGCTGGGTCCTCAGCCCCGCCCCCCCCCTTTTTTTTTATTTTGGTGTGATCAGACACCTGACAGCCTGGGAATCGAACTTGGGTCCTCTGGAACATCAGTCAGTGCTCTTAACCTCTGAGCCATCTCCCCCCCTTTTTTTTATTCTCTCAGCCCCTTCTTTGTTCTTTTTAGAGAGAGACTCATGTAGCCCAGGCTAGCTTTGAACTCCCTATGTATCTGAGGATGATCTTGGACATGCAACCTTTCTTCCTCCACCTCCCAAGTGCTGGGATGACAGGCTCGAATCACCACGCCTGATTTTCAGTGTTGGGGATGGAACCTAGGGCTTCAAGCAAGCCCTCTACCAGCTGAGCTATTTCCCAGGCCCTGGGTTGGTCTTCTAAACATCTTATTCGTTCTGACATCAAGTCCTCAGCAGCTCCCACTGCCATCAAGACAAAGCCCAAACCTCAAGCCCTGTCCTCCAAGGGTTGGCCAGCAGTTCTTTCCTCATCGTCCTTCAGATCCTGGAATCGGGCTTTTTGGTGACAGCTTTAATTCCTTGAATGCTTCAGCCCCAGGACCTTTGCATATGCTCTTCAGTCCCATTTCACCCATTTCTCTGAAATCTCCGGCTAGCTTATACAGGTCTGTTAGCTACTTCTGTTTATTTGTTTTATTTTTTCCCTTTTTTCTTTTTCTGCCTTATTACCTGGTCCACTCGGCACCCCGTGGTGTCTGTCAATTGCTTTTAACATCACCCCATTTGATCATCTGATCCAGATTTTATTGCCTTGGTTTATAAATGAGGAAACCGAGGCATGGGGAAGTAGGCTGCTTCAGCTGAGATCACAAGACTGGTGAGTCCCGGAGCTGAACTTGAACTCAGGAAGTCTGGCCATGGCTGAGCGAGAACAGGCTACAGTCCTCTGCCTCTTAATTACGACTGTGGTTTGAGCATGGTAAGCATGTGGTGGTTATCACCAATGAGGGGGAAGACCAGGAATCATTTCCTTTCTTCATTCCTGAACTGGCTCAAAACCAAAACCAAAAAAAAAAAAAAAAAAAAAAAAAAAAAAAAAAAAAAAAAAAAAAAAAAAAAAGCCAAGTAGCCAGGGCCAGAGGCAGTCCTAGCATTCTAGGTTCAGGGGACACGGGTGTGCACAGGGTACACGCATGTGAGTGGCATTCTATACAGACGGCCCCTACCCAAGCTAGGCTTCCCCCTCCATAGAGGGGTCGCCATCCCCGCCTCCCCCGGCCCCATTCCCAGCTGCCTGCTCAGGGTCTCTGAACAGAACCACTCCAATTCATCAGGGGCCGTCAGCCTCTTGGAGCTGTTTAGGGCATAAATCAAATGGCGGCGAGGAGGGGAGGCTTAAAAAAAAAGGTAGTGGGGAGAGAAAAATCGGGGAAGGGGGTGAGGGGAGAAAGAGCGATGGAAGAGAGGGTGGGGAGGAGCGAGATCAAAGGCAAAAATTCATCAGAGATAACGGAATTATTTATTTTTCCTGCTCTCAGTCTCTGGGCCTTTGAGGAGGTCACACTGATGTATTTGTGCGTCTTGGGGCCGTCTGTTGCTAGAGGGCTCCCCCCCAGCCCCCCACCCCCAAGGCACACTGCTTCTATCAGCAGCAGCTGCCCCCTCTCGGCTGCCCTTGGAGCCTTTTGAAGTGGGTCCTGCTGGTGTTTATTCGCCCGCGTGTAAGAAACGTGTGCAGGGTGCTGGCAGGGCAGCTGGGGGAAGGAGAGACGGGGTTCCCCCTCATCCGTCACCAGCTTGTTTATTTGGGTACCACAGCGAGCCTTTCTCCGCTTATTACTCAACGTCCCCCCGCAGATGATGGCACCCCCATTCTGGGGCATGGGGCAGGAATAACAAACACAGGACCACCTCTGCCCGAGGCTCCCATTGTGCTCCCAGCATCGGGCTGCACTTGGCTTTCTGAACGCAGATGGAGATGAGGGGCTTAGAACGAGGCATCGAGGGAGATGGACCGCGGACCTCATTGCCTGACAGAGTCCAGGTGCTAGGTTTGACTCTAGACTCAAAGCCCTCAGTTGCTCTCACCCGTGTTGCAGATGGGGAAACTGAGGTTCAGAGAGGTTCAACTGTATGCAACGAAATGAGGATGATAGGTAGTGCACAGCAAGTCTGGATATGGCTGATGTTGAAAGTTGGACAATTGGCTTCAGCTAGGTCATGTGGGATAAACATGCCCTCTCGTCCTGATACAGCAGCTCTCTCCTGCTCTTATTTTCAGTTGCCTGGCTAAAAGCTCATGTCATTATCTTAGAATTATCCCCACAGTGCTGGGGATAGAACCCAGGGTTTTGAGCATGCTGGGTAAGTGCTGTGTGACTGAGCTAGCCTCCAACTCCTCTATCATCTATTTGAACAGATCAGCTCGGTCATGGCTCCATCAAACTGGAGGGCACAACCCCGTAGCGAACACAAGGCCTGTGAAGAAGTTAGCAAATGATGAAAGGGGTTTGAACACACAGTGGCTGAAGGTTCACACTCCAAGGTGTTTCTGGAAGAACTTGCTTGGACTGCGTCACGTGACTCCATGCAGCATTGAGTCAGAACACATCACATGTGTGTGTGGTACATGCTGTCACCCCGTACACCACAGGGACCACCACCTAAACCTCCTCAGCGCAGATTCCTGACCTGCGTGTGTCATGAGCTGTAGGGATCTCACCATTCATACCAACATTTCTGTACTTGCCGCAACCATGCTTTAAACTGAGCTGTGCTGGGCACATGTGTGTGGGAGTACATGTGAAGGTCAGAGAGGTCGTTCCTCAGGAGCTGCTGTCCACCTTGCTTTTTTTTTTTTTTTTTTTTTTTTTTGTTTTTCAAGGCAGGGTCTCTCTGTGTAGCTTTGCGCCTTTCCTGGAACTCGCTTTGGAGACCAGGATGGCCTCGAACTCACAGAGATCCGCCTGCCTCTGCCTCCCGAGTCACCTTGCTTTTTTGAGGTAGAGTCTCTCACTTGGTTTGAAGATCACTGACTAGGCTAGGCTGACTGGCTGTCGAGTCACAGGGATCCTCCTGTCTCAGCCTTCCCAGCACTGGGGTTACAAGTGCATGCCACCATGATGCCTGTCTTTTATTATAATGGGTTTCATTAAAAAAACACAAGTTTCATTAGAAACTGTGAAAATCTGACTTTAAAAATTATGAAATACAATTTTGGCTTCAGATTAAGGACAGAATTCCCAGCAATGTCGGGAATGGCCCTGCACGTATTTCTGCCATTCTGTGTTCTTGTTTACATGGAGAGGTGCTCTCAGCATGAGGGGCTGTAAAAACCAAAATTTATCAACTCTACTTCCTGTGTTAGCAAATGATTCGGCCATGACTTGACTTGCAGGCCAAACACACACACACACATCCATCCCATTAGGATGCAAATTTGCTCTCTTTAATAAATGGCAAAAATGATACATATACCGAAGAATAGTTTAAAATA